GATAAACAGGTGGCAATTATTGCCCTTATTTAAGGAAGGAAGGCAGCAAATGTTGGACATGCTGGTTACAGTGCATTTCTCTCTGAAATTCTGAGGAAAATGGGTCGTTCCAGACATTGTTCAGAAGAACAGCGTACCTTGATTAAAAAGTTGATTGGAGGGGAAAACATATAAAGAAGTGCAGAAAATGATCGGCTGCTCAGCTAAAATGATGGCAAATGCTTTAAAATGGCCACCAAAACCTGAAAGACGCGGAAGAAAGCGAAAAACTACCATTGGAATAGATAGAAGAATAGCCAAAATGGCGCGGACTCAGCCAACAATCAGCTCCAGGAAGATGAAAGAAGGTGTGACGTTCCCTGTGAGGACTGTTACAATTAGAAGACACCGATGTGAAGCCAAGCTATCTGCAAGAAGTCCCCGCAAAGTCCCACTGTTGGGAAAAAGACGTGTGCTGAAGAGGTTACAATCTGCCAAAGAGCACATTGACCGGCCTAAAGAGAAATGGTCCAACATTTTGTGGACTGATGAAAGTAAGATTGTTCTTTTTGGGTCTAGTGGGCGGAGACAGTTTGTCAGACGACCCCCAAACACTGAATTCAAGCCACAGTACACTGTGAACACCGTGAAGCATGGTGGTGCAAGCATCATGATATGGGGATGTTTCTCATACTACGGTGTTGGGCCTATTTATCGCATACCAGGGATCATGGATCAGTTTGAATACATCAGAATACTTGAAGAGGTCATGCTGCCTTATGCTGAAGAGGAAATGCCCTTGAAATGGGTGTTCCAACAAGACAACGACCCCAAACACACCAGTAAATGTGCAACAAAAATGCCGTTTCTGGGGCCAAACCAAGAAATAGAGAAGAACTGAACAACCTTAGACCCATCTCCCTGCTGCCATTTACTCCCAAACTCCTTGAATGCTTAGTCTACAATCGCCTAAGCGCCCACCTCACTGACAACAACCTCCTTGATCCCCTACACTCCACCGAAAACCGCCCTACTCAAAATCACTAACGACCTGCTAACCGCCAAAGCTAACGGCCACTACTCCGTTCTCTTACTCCTCGACCTCTCCGCGGCCTTCGACACAGTCGACCACCCCCTCCTTCTTAATAAACTACACTCCCTCGGCATCAGAGACTCCGCCCTCTCCTGGCTCTCCTCCTATCTATCCCAACGCTCCTTCAGAGTTGCCTATAACGCTACCACCTCCCCCTCTCTGTTGGGGTCCCCCAAGGCTCTGTCCTCGGGCCCCTTCTCTTCTCCATCTACACCTCCTCCCTCGGCAAACTGATACACTCCCACGGCTTCAACTACCACCTCTATGCCAATGACACGCAAATCTCTCTCTCCACCCCTCGCCTCACCCCTTCAGTCTCCGCCCGTATCGCCCACCTACTGAACAACATATCAGACTGGATGTCGCTCCATTTCCAAAACTGAACCTTTCCAAAACAGAGCTCCTGATTTAACCCCCAGCCCGCGCCCCCACCACCCTCTCCATCACGACCAACGCCACCATCAGTCCCACCCCGCAAGCCAAAGTCCTAGGTGTCACTCTAGACTCAAACCTGTCCTTCCAACCCCATGTCCAATCGTTGGCAAAAGTCATGCAGGCTCCTCCTCCGCAACATCTCCAAAATATGTTCGTTCCTAACCCCAGACACTACTAAACAACTCGTTCACTCCCTTATTATCTCACGTCTGGACTACTGCAACTCCCTCCTCACCGGCCGACCTCACCGCAGACTATCCCCGCTTCAGTCTATCCTGAACTCAGCAGCCAGACTCATCCACCTTACCAACCATTCCGCTTCTGCCACCCCCCTCTGTCATTCCCTCCACTGGCTCCACCCCCCTCTGTCATTCCCTCCACTGGCTCCACCCCCCTTTGTCATTCCCTCCACTGGCTCCACCCCCTCTGTCATTCCCTCCACTGGCTCCACCCCCTGTCATTCCCTCCACTGGCTCCCGCTTGCCCAACGCATTAAATGCAAACTACTAACATTGACGTACAAAGCCATTCATAACTCTGCCCCAAACTACCTCACCGACCTGATACCCAAATACCACCCAAGCCGCAATCGTCGCTCCTCACAAGACCTCCTACTTTCTAGCTCCCTGGTCTCAACCTCCCTCCCCCGACTCCAGGACTTCCCCCATCCTCTGGAACTCACTACCCCAATCCATCAGATTATCACCTACCCTCCTCACCTTCAGGCGCACCCTGAAAACCCATCTCTTCAGGGAAGCCTACCCCACCCTCACCTAACAGCCGATCTCCTCCTCTCCTCCCCACCACTCCATACCCCAGACTTCACCCCAGCAACAATAGACCCCTAACTCAACAGCAGATCCCTTCCAGCAACAACAGACCCCCAGTAGCCAGCTACATTAGTCAACTGCCCCCCCAACAGTAGATCCCTTCCAGCAACATTTGACCCCTGGCAACAATAGATCTCCCCAGCAATAGACAGCCATACAAAATAGAGGTCTCCCAGCAACAACAGACCCCCAGTAGCCAGCTACAGTAGACACCCCCCCAACAATAGATCCCTTCCAGCAAACAGAGGTCTTCTAGCAACAACAACAGAGTACGGTTCAAATTGCACCGCACAGAAATAGCATGTGGTTTGCAGTTCCTATGCGAATCACATTCGATGTGCCGCACCGCATCCGTGTGAACGCGGGTTGAGACTGTATAGGTTCATCTATGCGTTTTCCGCAGCATTTTACAGAAACAAACAGCAGTCACAAAGCAGTCCATTTACCACGATTTCCTATGGGACACATTCAATCACTGCGTTTTCACCCGGTGCATTTTTTGGACCAGGTCGGGGGCCTTTTTTATCAATGGAAAACGTTGCGTTTTTCGACGTTGGTTCGATAAGACTTCAATGGAGATGCTGCAGAAATGCACGTAGTGCGCTTTTGATGCGTTTTAATCTGCCCAGCAACAAATTGGTGAAAAAAAAAAAAACACACATCAAAAACGCATGTGCAAAAACGCAAAACGCACCCCAGAAACGGATCAAAACGCAAGCTGCAGAGGTGTGAACCGAGCCTAAATGCACATAAATAGTGAGCACATTTCAGCACCCGGGACGCACAGCCGCCCACAGGAGTAAATGGCTGTCCACAGAGATCGCCTGCGACCCGGATCGCCCAGCTTCCCGCAATTAGCGGCGTGAACCCGCACACAGCCATTCGTCACTATGGCCGGCCTTGCACCCCGAGTGTGGCGGTACGCCTGGAATTTGTACCCTACGACCCCATGTACCCGCGTGTAGGAGACGTTATGACATTGTAACGATTATAACGTCCCCGGAATACGAAGGTCGCTTTCCGATCCCGAGACCTGCGAAGGCGCCGGAGTCGCACACAGCGCTCTACAGAAGTAACCAATATTGTCAGATTGCCTCTCCGTGTCAATCCCCCCCCCCCCCCCCCCGCAGGGAGCTGAAAAACCAATAAAATCTGGCGCCAGCTGTACGGGAGATCTGGTTACCAGAGAGATCTCTGACTTCGCTCTCGAGGTTCGAGGTAATAAAAACGCTTTATTTGGAACATTAGATCAGAGGCCTGCGGGTTCCGATTACCGCCATCTTTATAGAGAAGAAACAATCCCGCAGGCGGGGCGGACAGGTTCATTCCGTGTATAGCCAGCGATTCACATTGCAGAGCTTTTATTTGTGGAAATCTGCTGCTTGAGGGCCGGTTCACACGACATGCGTTTCAGTTGCTTTTTCCTGCATCCAAAACGCACAGAAAGTTGGCGATATGGGTGTCAGTGTCATAGTTCACATCAGCAATAGTACCGGTGCGTTTTGGATGCAGAAATAAAAGTAGAACAGGCTGCGTTTTTTCTGCACAGAACTGTACTGGAACAAGACGTATCAAAAATTCACTGGAACGCACCAAAAAAGAAAGAGGTGAAAAAAATTAACCGGAAAGCATCAGTAATAAAAATGAGAAAAATGAATCGGAATGCGTAAAAAACACTGAAACGCATCAAAAAAGAAAAAGGTGAAGAATGAACTGGAATGCATAAACAACGCACTGAAACGCATCAAAAAAGAAAAAGAGGTGAAAAAATTAACAAGAATGCATCAAAAAAAAAAAAAAAAGAGGGGAAAAATGAACTGGAATGCATAAATAAAAACGCACTGAAACGCATCAAAAAAGAAAAAAAAGGGGAAAAATGAACCGGAATGCGTAAAAAACACTGAAACGCATCAAAAAAGAAAAAAGGTGAAAAAAATTAACTGGAATGCATCAGAAAGAAAAAGAGGGGAAAAATGAACTGGAATGCATAAAAAAAACGCACTGAAACGCATCAAAAAAGAAAAAAGGGGGAAAAATGCACTGAAACGCATCAAAAAAGCATCGAAACGTGTCAAAAATGCATCCAGAAGGCATCTGGACTGCGGTGTTATAGTGTGAACTGGCCCTTAAAGTGGACCTGTCAGAGTCAATGAGTTATGGTTATACACACTTTTTTTTTTTTTTTTTTTACAGCGGCTGTTTTTGGCTTTTGATGTTTCTTTTCTAAAGCCAGTAACCCCCCAGCATGTTATCCTCGGTGTCCTTACACACACAGACTGGAATCAATGTGTTTTGGCTGGAAAAAACCCAGAACTAGCGGGTCTCTAGAGGAGTTTTTTATCTGTAAAAAAGCTTTAATGCTGAAAAATGCAGCAAAACGCAGTAAATCACGGAAAGCCCTATGTAATCCTATGTGTCCATGCACACCGACTGTAATCAACGTTTTTTTGGCTGGAAAAAAACCCAGAACTAGTGAATTTCTAGAGGAGTTTTTTTAGTTGTAAAAGCACTCTAACGCGGCAAAACGCCGCAAACTGGACATTTTTGGGGTAAAAAAAAGCTAAAAGACGCAAATGCAGAAAAACGTGGCAAAACGCCACTAAATTCTAATGCAAAAACACAAAAAAAAAAGCTTTTTTTTGGATGCCATCCAGTAGATGCATTTGCATATACACTATATTGCTAAAAGTATTGGCCCTGCCCTCCCAATCATGTGATTCAGGTGTTCCAATCCCCTCCCAATCATGTGATTCAGGTGTTCCAATCCCCTCCCAATCATGTGATTCAGGTGTCCCAATCCCCTCCATATCATGTGATTCAGGTGTCCCAATCCCCTCCATATCATGTGATTCAGGTGTCCCAATCCCCTCCATATCATGTGATTCAGGTGTCCCAATCCCCTCCATATCATGTGATTCAGGTGTCCCAATCCCCTCCATATCATGTGATTCAGGTGTCCCAATCCCCTCCATATCATGTGATTCAGGTGTCCCAATCTCCTCCATATCATGTGATTCAGGTGTTCCAATCCCCTCCATATCATGTGATTCAGGTGCTCCAATCCCCTCCATGGACACAGGTGTATACAATCAAGCCCCTAGGCATGCAGACTGCTTCTACAAACATTGGTGAAAGAATGGGTCGCTCTCAGGAGCTCAGTGACTCCAAGCGTGGGGTTGGTCCCGTGATAGGTGGCCACCTGGGCAATAAGTCCATCCGTGACATTTCCTGGCTACTAAATATTCCACGCTCAACTGTTAGTGGGATTATAACAAAGTGGAAGCAACTGGGAACAACAGCCACTCAGCCACCAAGTGGTAGGCCACGTCACATGACAGGGCGGGGTCAGCACATGCTGAAGCGCACAGTGCGCAGAAGTCGCCAACTGTCTGCAGAGTCAATAGCTAAAGACCTCCAAACTTGGTGTGGCCTTCAGATGAGCCCAACAACAGTGCGTAGAGAGCTTCATGGAATGGGTTTCCATGGCCGAGCAGCTGCATCCAAGCCTTCCATCACCAAGTGCAATGCAAAGCGTCGGATGCCGTGGTGTAAAGCACACCGCCACTGGACTCTAGAGCAGAGGAGATGTGTTCTCTGGAGGGACCAATCACGCTTCTCTGTTTGGCAATCCGATGGATGTGTCTGGGTTTGGCGGTTGCCCGGAGAACGGTACTTGCCTGACTGCATTGTGCCAAGTATAAAGTTTGGTGGAGGGGGGATTATGGTGTGGGGTTGTTTTTCAGGGGTTTGGCTTGGCCCCCTAGTTCCAGTGAAAGGAACTCTTAAGGTGACATTTTGGACAATTTCATGCTCCCAACTTTGTTGGAGGAGTTTGGGGATGGCCCCTTCCTGTTCCAACATGACTGTGCACCAGTGCACAAAGCAAGGTCCATAAAGACATGGAGGAGCCAGTTTGGGGTGGAGGAACTTGACTGTCCTGCACAGAGTCCTGACCTCAACCCCATAGAACACCTTTGGGATGAATTAGAGCGGAGACTGCGAGCCAGGCCTCCTCCCCCGACATCAGTGCCTGACCTGACAAATGTGCTTCTGGAAGAATGGTCCAACCTTCCATAGACACCCTCCTAAACCTTGTGGACGGCCTTCCCAGAAGAGTTGAAGCTGTTATAGCTGCAAAGGGCGGGGCCAACTCAATATTGACCCCTACGGACTAAGACTGGGGGGTCATTAAAGGTCATGTGTGTGGAAAGGGCGGGGCCAACTCAATATTGAACCCTACGGACTAAGACTGGGGGGTCATTAAAGGTCATGTGTGTGGAAAGGGCGGGGCCAACTCAATATTGAACCCTACGGACTAAGACTGGGGGGCCATTAAAGGTCATGTGTGTGGAAAGGGCGGGGCCAACTCAATATTGAAACCTATGGACTATGACTGGGGGGCCATTAAAGGTCATGTGTGTGGAAAGGGCAGCGGCCCAATATTTTGGCAATATAGTGTACTTCCACAGCAAAGCAAATTTCTGCACATATGTTAAAAACTGTATTATATATTTTCTGAAAGCAGAGGCCTTGTATAATAAAATGGCGGTAGTTGCAATTTTTTTTTTATGTTGCATATTTGCACGACTGTTTATCAAATCTATAATATCAGGGAAAATACACAAAATTAATTTTAGCGCAACACAAACATAACATTATACCCAATTATTGTAAAACACAAAAGGGGAGGTTCTGCTGAGTATATAGATACCAAACATGACAAACCTTAAAACTGCACGTGCCCACAAGAGTAGGGGAAGGGGGAAGGGGAAAGGGGAAAGGGGGGGGGGGGTTGGCACATCCACAGTACTGAAAAAGTGATCAGCTGGCTGCGTGGATCAATATTACTCAATAGCCAGGAGCTGGATTAAAAAAAGAAAAAGAAAAAGAAAAAAAAAAAAAAGAATAAAAAAAGGACCAATTGGGAACTTTTAAAAAAAAAAAAAAAAATTGTGGATGGAGTAAGGGAGGGCTTTAACCCCTCAAGTTTTTTGCCATTTTCGTCCCCCATTGTAGAGATTTCCCTTCACTTCCTGCCCTATAGCCAAAACATGAAGTGAGAGGAAATCCCTCCAAAGTGAAGTGTCCCCATCGGAAGCTTTCCCCTCTATTGCTGTTCTGGTGACAACCCAAAATTTGTGATTTTCTTTCACTTTCGGTGATACTGGCCACCAGGACAAATAGGGTGAATCTCTTTAACAGGGGCACAGACAGCCATAAAAGCCCAATAAGGGGGGGGGGGGGCTAATCCCTTGCCAATCTATCCAAAACTAAAAAAAACAAAAAACAAACCAACAGGAAAAAACAAAAAAAATTGTGCCTTTGGTCATACTTTAACTATTTGAGTTGCGGGCTGGTTATGAATGGCCTATGAATGGGGCAAGTGGTTATGTGAAAGTTTGTGTCCAGAGTTGAGCTTGTTGGAAAATTGGAAAAAGATAGGAAAAAAAGAAAAAAGAAAAGAAAACAAGGAAAAGAAAAAAAAAGAGAAAAGAAAAAAAAGAGAAACGAAAAGGAAAAGAAAAAAAAGAAAAGAAAAAAAGAAAAGAAAAAAGGAAAAAAAAAAAGGAAAAAAAGAAAAAACAGAAAAGGAAAAAAGGAAAAGGAAAAAAAGAAAGGAAAAAAAAGAAAAAAACAGAAAAGGAAAAAAGAAAAAGGAAAAAAAGAAAGGAAAAAAAAGAAAAAACAGAAAAGGAAAAAAGAAAAAACAGAAAAGAAAAATAAAAAAAAAAAGAAAAGAAAAAAAAAAAAAAAAAAAAAAAAAAAGGAAAAAAAGAAAAAAAAAGAAGAAAAAAAGAGGGAAGGAAAGAAAAGAAGAGAAAAAAAGAAAGAAAAGAAAAGAAAAAAGTTGAATGCAGAATATACAAACTCATTAGTTACGTTTTCCATTCTGAGATCAACAGAAAAGAACAAAGATGTCTCCACACGTTATCTGTCTGCGTACAAACCAAAGGAAATCATTTACCCCGTGTGAAATGTTGCTAGGCAACCACCGTGCGACTGCCCAAAAACCCCGCCTGGTCCTCAAAGTTTAAAGCGAACACAAAAATCACAGAGCGAGGAAAAGTGTCTGCAGAAAATCAGAACTTCCATTCAGAAGTGTTATCACTGTAAAGCCGTTTTTCCTGGCTTTTTTGGCTTTGCATCTCCTCTCAGTTCCTTGAGCGTTACATCTCTGATAACAAGACCGCGCGCGGCGCTACATTTGGATCCAACAACATTACGGAGGTGCCAGAATCTCATCCACAGAAGTGTCAGAGAAAAAAAGATAAGAAAATCTTGACAACATAAAAATGGTTCCGTTGAATTGGTTTCTGAACCAGTTTTTGTCTACTAATGTCCATTGTACAGGAAGACAGAAGCTGAAGAATAGAAACCCATCCCTAAGCTGCCTCAGGGGCAACAGCCCCCCTGAGACTGAGAAGTCTCCTGCCTGGAGAAAGACCATCTCTATTTATCAGCTGCCCAGCCTTGATGATGGACGCACCTCCTCCGGGATTGGCTAGGTCCTTATCGATATTCAGGCTGGTAATTTGAATTCTCCATCCTAAGCTCTACAGCAGGGGTGTCAAACTGGTGGCCCTCCAGCTCTTGCGAAAGTCCCATCATACCTCTACCCTTGGGAGTCATGCTTGTAACTGTCAATCTTGCAATTCCTCATGGGACTTGTAGTTTGGCAACAGCTGGAGGGCCGCCAGTTTGACACCCGTGCTCTAGAGGATTCTTCTAGAGTCAGGGGGAAGCAATCAAACTTCCAACCAGTAAAACCCTGGACAGACCAAACTAAATCTATGCTCCCTTGGCTACAGAAGGAGCCAAAACTAAATTTACCGAGCAACCCAACTAGGACGGTGCTCCACCGGTTAAAGCCGGCTTGGTGTGGATTTGTAGAGCCAGCATTGGGTTTTCAGGTAAAAGAGATTCAGGCAGCTCTACAGCCACCTGATTCACGTTTACGGGACTTTAAAGGTGTGCCCCTTGCCGGTGGCACCAGTGGTGGTTCCCAGGCTCTCTTGTTCTTACGGGGAGCGCAGGAGGTGATCAGGGAACACCATCCCCCCTGTATCTAATGAACCCGGAAGTGATGGGTATTACGTTGCTTCCGGGTTCACATCTGTCATTCCCCGGCTTCTCTAGGCAAAGATGCAGCTAATCAAGAATGACCTGTGCATGATTAATGCAGTGGATGGCAGGGGAGACATTGGGGGTCCAACAGACCCCTGATGTCTCCATAAAGAGGACCTGTCACCTGTCTGATGCCATCACTATGGGACTTATTAGCCCTCTTGTGATAGCAATAAAGTTAATTAACCCCCCCCCACCCCCGTAAGAATTTCTATCACAACACTTCAGATGTTGATCAGAAAAGCGGAATTGGTCTTTCCTAAGTTCCACTGATACTACCGGCAAACGACTACCCTGATAGATGATTGGCTGAGGCCCAATAGGGACAATGCAGAGCAACAGAGGTGGCTGTAATGTCCTTGTTTGGATCCCTGCACAATTCCATATATCAACGGACTACTAAGAACCTACCGGACACATCCATTACCAACACCTCTCCTGAACGCCTAAGATATGGTGACTCTACTGATTGGGTTAGGTCGATTGATAACCCAATGTAAAGGAACTGTCCCAAGACTGCGCTTGGGTACTTCCGTTGGACTACCGCTTCCCCATCCGAACACCGACAACAGACACCACAGCCGACCAAACAAGACTAGACGACACCAGTCTGTCTGAACATGGAACTCTTTATTTGAAACTCGAACTGGCTTTTTATCCCCCCTCCCTGCATAATGACACAGGGTGGGGAAATCTACACTTAGCAACAAGAGACACACAGGTATTCAAACTTCACACTAGCAGACAGTCCCATCAGGAGGGAGGGCTGCTGGAGACACCCCCCACCAAGCCAATACACAAACACATACATCCCATAATAGTTTGCTCCCAAGCAAGACACACAATAGAACAATGGGTTACAACCACATGGCATTAAAAAATCAACAACCCCCACCCCATTAGGACAGATCACCCTGTACCCCTAACAGGCACAGGGTGACTTACACATAATAGAGATATGGGGAGCT